ACAAAGTAGTAAACAGATCGAAAGTAGACATTCTTTTATTTAATATAAAAATACTTGAAACTCCTTTTAATTAATTTGAATTGCTTTGTCTGCAAAACTATTTTAGTTATATCAATAAGAAAATACTCAGAGGCATTATTATTTCTGAAGTTGTTATATTTAAATGAATTTGTAACAATAAGGCCAACTTTACGTTGGAAGTTGAAAATTTTAAAGCTATATTTTATTATTTATTTCATTCGCAATAATTTTACTATTAATTTCATTAAGCATTTTTTTTTAATTTAAATTTCAGGTTTACATTTACATTTTTAGAGTTTACGCTGTTCACAATGCCTAAACCGTAACCAACACTTTGATTCATTTGTGATGCATTATTTTCAACACTATAATTAGGAAAGATGGCTGTTGATGCTGAGGTATTAGAATACGGCAACCAGCACTGAGAAAAAATTATGGTCAAAACTACTAGAATATGGTAAAATTAACCGTGTTTCTGACTCCATTTTTAACTCCAAAAAACCAGATAATTTTTTCCCAAAGCGCTTTGGTAATGATGACTTTTTGGTAAAATTAACAATAAAATACGTGGCTTTTATAACCATACTGTTGGGAAGTAAATGAGGCAAAATAAGGTAATTTTAAGCAAGTCAGTAATTTTGACAGCGCAGTAAATATTTGTTTATTTTTTTTTCCGCCGGTGTGTTCTTTTCCTATGTAAGCTGCAAGTTAACATCCAACAACATTTAAAACTTTAAAAAATATGCAGTTGCAACTGTACAAATTTCTAAACAAGGCTGAACTAAATCAGGAGCTTAACTGTTACTAAATAAATACTACACTAGGGTAAATAAAATTACTACATCAGGGCTGTCTCAACATTCTAAAATGCAAGTGTAGAGATAGCAGGTTTAAATCCCACCGTAACCCTGGATGCATCTATTTATTCATATTTATTTATTCCTACAAAGTTCAGATAGCGTGCCCTTGTCTAATTGATATACAGATAGCACAAAATAAGGAAAGGCAGCACACACATACAATCTGGGACAAGATGGGATTCGAACTAGCTACCACTGTGTTACAATCGACGCAGCGTTGTAATGTTTTCCTCTAATTTGAGCAATATTTTCTTTAACTTGAACAGGGCTTATAAAGAGTGCTTTGTAACGAACACATAAGTCTTTATATGCAAATATAACAATTAAAAAAAATTTGCTTTACATGCATACTAAGGATCATATATTCAGTATAAAAATTGTCTTCTAAGCTCTTATGAAATTGAATAATAGAGATTTTCAATCGAAGTAGAAACTATAGCGATGAAATAAGTCTGTTTTGATTCGATTTACTGTTAGGTAAAGAGTAGAAATTATGTTAACATATAAATAATATATTATCGCTAAAATTTGTTTAAAATTAATTGAAAATTGTATCGTGATCCAAATTTTTTTCTAATAATTAATGTAAATATTTTCTTTCATGGAACTTAGGAATATCTCTGGAGCTAATAGTAGAATAAAAAAAGTTTACAGTTGTATTATAAGCAGATTCTTTTGTAAGGATACTTAAGAAATAACTTATTTTTATTTGTCTATTTTAGCGAGTGAATATTAGAACAGCATACAAAATTTAAATGAGTCAATTTTTTTATGCTAATTAATGTATTATATTGCTCACCATATTATATTGCTCACCATTAAACTAAATAAAAAATCAATATTTTTGAAATTATGTGATTTTTTAAAATTATAAACATAACAGTGACAGTTTTTGTCTGTGAAAAATAAGTACACGGGCGCTTAATTTAAATCAAATTTCCATTTATTATCCAATGCACAATTATTTTAAAATATAGACGTAATAACAAGAACTGAAAAGAATATCATCTGCATGTTCAGTATATAACTATAAATAATGTAATGAAAAACGTAGTGAAAGAAGGTATCTAAATAATTTGAAATTAATGTTTAATAAAGAATTATTTATTCATTATATATGATAAATATATTTATGTTGTAGATTATAAACTAGGATCAAAATTGGTCCCATAGAATCTTTTTTTTAAATTGTAGTAAAATGAAGCGCAAATTAAGAATCCATATCTATAAGTAACATATTGTTCACCCGTGAATATTGAGTTTACGACTATTGTAAATACATATAACAAATTGATTAGTTTCACAAAAATTACTGGATCAGAGGTCAATAAGCGCACGCAACCATAATAATGCTCCTTAAAATACATAGAATCTAAAGGAACGTAGAAAGAAAGTAACATTGGTTTTAGATACAATACTATGAAATTTGAAATAGGTTATAATGAAACCCAGTACTTCTTATAAAAGTTATGCGGTGTTGTTGGCTGATCATGAGTTACAACACTTTTATTTCCTGTATTGAGTTATTTATAATATTGCATTGTCCTAATGCTTTAAGTGTTTAACTTTTTTTAAATAATAATTTTCATTATCAAAAAAAAGCAAAAGGAGATAGCGAAGGTGACAGTGAAAACGCAGAAAGTGAAGACAGTGAAAACAAAAAATTATTATTGGATCATATCTGATCTATTGTAAATGCAGGATATTGTTGTTTTTCTATTTTTTTTTTTTCAATTTTGTTGGCCTCTACTTAAGCTTTTATTGACAGTTTAAGAAAGTAGAACTAATGAAATTACTAATCCAAAGAAACTTAAGCGTTAAGATATACATTTGTTGATTTCAATAGGTTCTTTCGCTTAACCGATTAAAAAAACAGCGAATAATTTTTTATTGTTTTTAGTATAGCTAAAATTCCAAAATTCACTTTTGTCCAAAATTCTATGTTAGAAAATTACTGTGTATAGTTTATGTATTTCACTAACGAAAATTATCTTACGAATTTTTTGTATTGGACTTTTCATTGCAAGGAAAAAAAATGCTCTCCTGTGTTATTTGAATTAAAATTATTTAAAACTCATATATTTTAAACTCCATATTCTTTTTTTGAAAAAAAATAAGAAATCGATATTGGAAGCCCCTATCTTTTTAAACTGAATGCAAATTTGCTTTAATACATTGCATAGTTAAGCCTTTTTATCATTTAATATAATCCTTCTTAAATTTGACAAAATGATACCGTTGATTCAACTTAGGGGGTCCTTTCTCTCACAACTGAATTCGCTTGTGGAAAAGGTGGAGACAGTGAAGGAAAATTCTAAATATGCTTTTAATCCGTTTTATTAATTTTTCACAAATAAACTTATGTTGGATTTTACTCGGATGCATGCAAACTCGCATGCATTTACTCGGATGCATGCAAAATGCAAGGCCGCCACCCAATCACAATTTGAGATATAAAAAGCGCGGTATTTTAGATTATATATTAATTTTCTTTGAGCCCTAATTATTCCTATACAATTCTGCAATCAACAGTTTTAGATAGGTAGTTAAATAATATAATGTTTGCTTGTTATTAGTTTTTTTTTGTATAAGTATCTTTGTTTTTATACAATTAGTGTTAAAAAAATTTTTCAGCTTCATCGAAATCAGTTTTAATCAGTTTAAGCTATAGTAAAATGAGATTTTAAAAATCTAGAAACTAAGAAACGTGTAGTTTTAAATTACTTACTCTAAACCGAAAATTACCTCATTTCATTTTGCTTTAAAATTTGGAAAAAATTCATAGGACTTCTAAAGATTAATCAGTGTTATTTCACCCAATCTAATGAAGCGACCCCTTTATTTTCTACTTTTTTTTAAAGGTGTTGTGCTGTTTAATAATACTATATCATCAAGAATTTGCTAGTTACAAAAAAAATTATCAAGAGAACTCAAATTAAAAATTTAACTTAAGACCCAAGATGGTGAGGGTAGAGGCCTTTTAAATGTAAGCATGGTTCAATTTAATATGTTATAAATGGTTGCAGCAATTTTGCAAGGTATTATGGTTCGATGTTGCACTAGATTTTCTAAGATGGAAAGGTGTGAAAACATTGAGCGATTAAATACATAAGTGACCTTTGTGCTAAAGTACACCAGTTTTATTTGCAGAACTTTGTAGTAAAAACAAATTTTTGCAATTCGAGACTCAACTATATCATTTACAAACATTTCTTACTGTTAATTTGTGTCTTTTAGCAAAAAGTTTCATATTCACATGTTATTCTCATATTTCTGTCTTTTGAGATGCGCATTTGTTACAGATTAGATTTTTATAACTGTGACAATCGAAATTTTTCTTAAATAAATTATCTTTTTTTAAAGTGACTTTTTTTTTTGTGACTAAATATGCTCGTTTATAGAAATGGAAAATTGACACCATAATTCAACTTGAATGGAAAAAGGGTTCAATTCCTAATCAGCTGAAAACACTTTTACACAGTATCATGATTCAAGGTACAGAAATTGTTAATCAATCGACTTTTCTGATAGATATTAAACCAATTTCTAATTCTATTTGATGCCAAAAAATTTTTGTGATGGGAGTTTCATATACCGTTTATAAATTGAATTAACTTACAATTGTTGTGAATTGAATTTGTGTCTGTCGCCTACACTATTGAATCTTTTGTAGCATATTGAATCACAATATCACTCGATTTTTTTGCAACTTTGATAAGTTGAACCATGTTACGGTGCTTCTGAAACTTGATTTTATAGCATTATTTCGAATATGTGTTAATTTTACACCATATTGAAAACAATTTGCACTGTATTTTAGTTCGAGAGTTAGTTTTTCTGAGAACGTCCAAGTTACTATTTCTAATTGTTTAATTATTGATTTAATTTCGTTTTCAAAATTTTATTTTTATTCTTTTGAATTTCGTTTGCTGAAACAACTTTCGTTATGTCTTATATTTTTTAATTATAAAAATTAACTTCTTTAAATTCAAATATTATTTCGAAGTTAAGAGGAGTAAAGTTTAAATTCTGTTGAAATTTCTCCCTCTAAAGATGGGCAATTTGAAAGCAATCACGTGACAAGTAAAGTTTGAGGGGAGGGATCTTATCCTATATAAGAAAGCTGTTCGCTCTTGAAAGACTTACTTAGTTCCGGTGACTACCAAAACCAGCTCATCGGGCTCAAGTTCAAGGTCTTTTTATCTTCGTTGTTGACCGTTACATTTGGACTATCAGGGAAAAGAGTAAGTTCTCTTCCTTCAACAACTGTGTTCTCTTTCCTGTAATTCTTTCCATCACTTTCTCATCTTTTTTCTGTTCGCTTCGTAACAAATATATTTCATTAAGATTGTTGATTGTCAATTTTAAGAAAGATTTTTTAGGCATGAAATACATTAAAATAATTATTTTTCCGTGCGATTCGTAATAAGTTTAGTTGATTATAATATCGTAGAAAAATGTTATTTTTGTGACTTGAGCTATGCAATGTTTCAGAATGCATAAAAAATTGTTCTAAATTTTAATTTTTGAAATATTCTAAAGGTATAGTTAATTAAGCTTTCTCTTCCTATGTAAAAGTAAAATGATTTTTGGTTCATAAAGTATTTTTGTAAAGATGATTATGCATTTTAAAATATCGCGTTTAAGAAATGGAGAGTTTTAAATTTACAAGAATTTACTATTTAAATTGATAAAAAAAACAAAATTTGTAATTTAAAATTTATGTTTCAAAATTTTTCTATTGTAATTCAGACGCGAATGAAATAATTAAATGCTTGCCTGAATTTTTCGTTATAAAGTCATAATAAATCTATGCTAAAGTCATGCGAATATCATTGTAATATTAAATCTACACATTTTAAATCAATTTCAAAGCGATTTTATAATAATTTTGAAACATTAATATTTAAAATATTTGGTCAAATTTGACCAATGTCATAAGATATTTCATAAATTATATATTATAAGAATTTTTGAAGAGTACTTCATGCGAAGCTAAAAGAATATTACAACAAAACGATAACATGAGAGTAAATTATTTTTCCTATAGTTTTCGTTCAATATTTATAAAGAAAATAATAAAAAAAAATTTGAAAAGGAACATTGATTTCCGTCTATGGTCTTCAAAACCTCCAATGGACTTTATGAAAAATGGTATTTCGATAAATGAATATTTTTTATTAACGAAAAACGAAGAAAATTTGACAAAACAACAAATTGTATGATTTTTCAAAATTGTAAAGACGATTCCCGCGCAGGAAAAACTTTTTGAGAAATTAAAAAATATATATATGTTAATGTTATTTTTCCTTCTACTCTATACCAATAAAGTGATAGACAATAATAAGATTATTTTCGTTCCACTTCAATATGTAGTCAACTTAACAGTGAATTTTCGATAGCTTTGACATTCGATACCAAAGTATTTTGTTTGAAAGATAAATTCGAACTTTCATTTCGTAAGTTTTTAAAAATAACTTCAGGTTTTGAACTATGGGTTTTCGGATTCAGAACTATGAGGAACTGATTCTAAGAATTCTTATTTTTTCTTACCAAAGTTCTAACTGTAGAAGGATATTTATTTAGAACATAAAATAAAATTTACAACTGAAATAGTCTTTTTTAAACTTTTTTGAATGCTGACAATTTTCGTGACAGAAAATTTAGCATTTCTTCATAAAAAAATTATCTTTAAACAGATGCAAGATTCTTTGTCGATTGATTCCTAGAAAGGAGCAAAATTATAAAAGCAGAAATAGGCGCAAAATTATTTTGAAAGATGAATTTTTATGACTTTTAAATAGATTGTCTCCCTAAGCTTTTTACTACATGTATTTCTGTGATTAGAAATATTGAATGTCTGTAAAGATTTCGAAAAAATAAAATTTATATTTAAGAATTACTTATTAGCAACAAATTATTTAAAACATTTTCTTCCAAAAGGATTACACAAATAGTGTGAATTTTAAATTAAAGGAGGTTAAATAATAGATAATTTATTAGCAGAAATAAAATTGAAATTGTTTTACTGAAATTTCGCTTTAAAGACGTGTTTGTTTCATTTTGATAGAATTAATTATTTTGTCTAAAAAAAAATCGGCTATCATATTGGTACCTTGATTGTATTATTTCGTCAATAAAGTTGTAATAATACAGTGAAAATTTTCTGAAACTTTAATCAAGTGTCAAATTAAGCTGCGAAATTTAACCATATTATCTTTAAAAATCAATTTAATGAAATCTGGTATCCTATTGAGATTGCAGGAAATTTTAATGTTAATATGGTTCACTACGCTTCTCCTCTTCAATAGCAGTGTAGTGAAAAATGAAACTCATCATAAAGCTATAAAAAATGGTTTAAATAATTGTAATTTTTAACTAAATAATACTTAAAAATTTAGTAAAAATTTAATTTATTATTTCATTAATTGAAAATTAATATTAGATATGTCATTATTTTTTTCCAGACAAAATATGGCTTTGACGCTTCGAATTTTATTAGCTATCACCTTCATTGGTTCATATTGTTATGGTCAAAGACCCCAAGGTGGTATAGGTGAGTTATCATTTATAAAAATATTTTATAATAAGATAATAAATTATTATTAAATTAAATTAATAAATCAATCAATTATTTTTATGTTTATTCAAGATATGATTTAAAGATATGAATTAATTTTTGAGGGCTGAGTTTTTCATAGAATATAAAATATTTTAATTGCAGCCTGACAACTAATTGCCTCAAGTTCTTCGAATAAATATTATTTTCCGTTGATTATTATTGTATTCAAATAATTATGCAGTTACAGTATTCGTAATACACTGTTAAAAAGAAGGTTCAACGTTTCACAAGATAATTGGTGCCAATTTAGCTGCAACCAATATAATAAGAAACTTAGTGCGAATGTCTTGGTGCTATAAGAAATACTACTTTTGTAGTTAAACGTTGAACTAAATTCAAGATTTTTCTTTTTACCAGTTTTTTCAGAGAGACGTCGAACCTAGTTCAAGGTTTCACTGTTAACGAAATTTTAGGTGAAAGATTTAACCAATATTTAAGTTTTTATTCGGACCAATTTTATGGTGAAAGGTTGAACCACATTTCAAATCATAATGTAAACCAGTTTTAAAGAAATATTGATCTAAAAGAAAACAAATGATTTACTTCGACATTTAACCCAATAGTGCTTTTGTGAGCATCATAACAGCGGTGTAATTTTGAACCTAATTTTTAATTTCGTTTGAAAGTGAATTCATTTAGTTTAACTTTGAACAATGTTTTCACATGTATATATCCCATTTTTTTAACACATAAACCTGAAGTTAAATGTTAGAATGCAGTTTTAATTGTTAAATTTCATGAATTTATCGATCTTTAGTAGATTAAATATATTAATAAAATAATTTTTCATTAAATTAACTTTAAGAAAAGCATTGTGTATAATAAGTTGGTTTCAATTTTCATAAACTTCGTCTACCTGACAGTTATTGGAATTTTTGTATGCTGAAATATTAAAAAGAAGAAGGTATTATATAATTACAGATTTTGTAATTATTATTCTTTTAACTCAACTGCAATAATTTTGTTACTTTTGAAGATCCAAATAAACTTTTTGTAATAAATAATTGCTTAATCCAAGAGAATAAAAATTTTGGAGTTTTTGAAATAATCTTGAACAATCATCCCTCCCCTTTCTTCACTATTAATACATAATCAATCATATTTTAGTAGTAATACTCATTATTCGATACATATAACTGCCTATATTCATCATTTAATTGTAGACTTAACATTTAGTTCATTTTATTGTAGACTTAACTCTGAAAATATAAAAGAACATAAGCTTAGTAGGGAGATAAAAAAGACAGTAACATAAGGGTTATATTTTTTTCCAAATTATACTTTTAATTCTAAGTAATTAATAAAAAAAAACATAATGCTCTTAAATCTTCTTTTAGAGAAATTTTAAAAACAGTAGTTCATCACTTCCCCACAGATCGATAATTTTTTTATTCACAACAAAACATCCTCAAAAGTATATTCAATTACTATCTACCATAACTAAATACTTGATATGTAACTTCTAAATATAACTTCTAGAGCTTTTCTTTCTAAAATTAAGTTTTGCGTAAAAGCAGATTTTACTATAACATAAAGCACATTAAGAAGAAAAAAAACAGATAATTTTAGCTATTTGCAGTATTTTAATTGCAAGAAACTTATACAACCTTTATACAGCGACATTTCATTAACGGCAAAATCAAAAACTTGATTGCAGTCATCATATCAATCTGATATTATAATAAAAATTTAGTAACAAAGATTAATTTGTTTTCTGAAAAATAACTCCAGTTAATTTTCACTGATTTTTTTTTTTAAATTTTCTCCTTGATGCAATTAAGTTTCATCTGCAAATAAATAAAATTGTTGTCTTTGAAATCCACCACAATATATTTTAATCCAAATATTCAGCAAAGCTGTAATTAATTGATTAAGATAGCATTAATCGAATAACGTAAAATAACTCTTCTTCGATTAATCGTCGTTTTTTGAAACTTGCCGGTTGTCAGCAATTAAACCAAACTCAGTTACGTTAGGTTGAATCACGGATGTAATGAAATCTCTTCAAACTTACTTTCGGTGATTTTTAGTTGAACTGAAATCTTCGTGAAATCGGTGTACGACTCTGTGCTGGCGTTTGCTTTCATGAGTTTTTCGGTGAAACGTTTATCTATGTTTTTTAACAGTGTGATCACTAATTTTCATCATCATCAGCATTGGTACGACAGCCCTTTGTGAGCCTGGGCTTTCCTCAGAAGCTTTTCCCATTCTCCCCTTCTCCCAGCAATTAACTTCCAGTTCTTTACTTTTAGGATGGCAAATCCTCATCCGCACAGTCTTTCCATCTCGTTTTGCGGCTCTTAGCCTTTCATTGGAGGGGGTTGCATTAAAGATTCTTAATGTTCTTCTTTCTGGGCTCATTCTCACTACATGCCCGGCCCATCTCATTCTACTTAATTTAATAGATTTCATGATATCATCACTATTAAAGATTTTATATATTTCAAAATTATATCTTTTTCTTCAGTTGTTGTTATCGAGGATAGCGCCAAAGATGGTTCCTAGGACCTTCCTTTCGAAGATTGCTAATAACTTCTCTTCCCTTTCTGTTAAAGTTCATGTCTCTGAAATCTCTAATTTTAATAAAGACATATAGAGCCGTAATGGCTCAGCGGTTAGAGCGTTTGCCTTCCAATAAGGTAAACCTGGTTCAAACCCCAGCTATGGCTGGTCGATACGAATCCCGCCTCTAGTTTGTACCGACTGAAGTGCTAACGCAAAATATCCTCAGTAGTAGATGGATAATGGGTTAGAGTCCCCTTGCCATTAGGCTAACCGTGGGAGGTTTTCGTGGTTTTCCTCTCCATGTAAAGCAAATGCGGGTTAATGCCATCAAGAAGTCCTCCACTTAGGAAAATGTCTCCCAATACTTGATCCAGGAGTTCCCTTGTCTTTAGTATTAAGTTCAAATTTACAAGGCTACATTACATTGCAGTCGAACATTAGTAGTCGTAAACCCGAAAATTGGATCGGTTGTTCAACGACGGTAGAAAATAATGGCATATAATTTCTTATGTCTTCATAAACTGGAAAATGCATAATGATACCATAGTTCCTTAATTTAATTTTTTGCATGCTAAATAAAAAAGTAGCATCGCTTGCCAAATGTTTAAAATGTTCGTCTCTTAATTATCTTTCTCTTCAAGTATAGTCAATATGTATCACTAATTTATAATTTTTTGTAAATACGTCAATATGGGGCTATTAAAACTCGCATTTTTTTTAATTACAAATACAACTGAAAGTTTAATAGTGCTTGATGCACCATGCGTTTTATATTTCATCAATAATGAATCAAAAACATCTTTTGATAAGTTTCAATATCAAAATTTATGAACATTTTAAATTACAATTGCACGTGCATTTATTTGTCGATATTATTTCACCACTCTATTGAGAAATACACATAAATTTCATACATGTAACAAGAAGATCCAGGACTTATTTATAACATTATGTCACTCATAAATCAATGCATCTTTTGCTTGTATCAATGAATGGAAAATAAATTCAGAAATAGAAAAATTGGGTTTATATAAGGAAATAAAATGCTGAATATTGCACTTGAGAAAAATAATAAAATATATACACAGCATATTTCATGAATTGATAATAAAGTTCCGAAAGTTGTATGCACGCAAAACAAGTTATCTCTCGTCAGTTTGTAAAAAAAAATACAAAAAATATTTTTGGAAGATGGTTGTTTTCAAATTAAAGCCAATTATTATAGCATCAATACAAGAAGGTGCGAAAAACTGGTTGAATGTTTATCTGAAACATGGACAAATTTGCTGCAATTATAATAAGTTATTGAATAATACTAACAAGGATAACGTCATTAAAACTTATAAAGATACGTCATTTAAAACTTATGAAAGCTTATTTTGTTTTATGTTCTAACGAATTTCCTTTATACTTTTTATAACAAGTGCAAGAGAGTATGACAAGTAAAAGAGAGTATATTTTTATTTTAATTAAAAATATAAAAGTTGGAAAGCATTTTTTTCTAAAGAAATCCGCATTAGTGTTAATATCACATCAGTGTTAGAAGCCTTAGTGTTAATAGCCCGAAATTTATATTGTGTTTATTTTGTCATTTAAAATTACGCGAAACGAAGCAAAAGTTTGATTGCTTTACAATTCAAAACGTTTTCAACCGTTATTCATTAAAATAACAGAAAATAACCAACAATTTTTAAAATTATATTTTCACGAAACTTTCATTAGATAAACGAGTTTCACAATTGAGTACAAAATTCTTTTGATTCGCAAAAAGTGAAATTAATAATCAGGTTCCCGATCTTTCAGTTATCCCTACCCACCCCTTCCTGTAACTTGAGAGTCAATAATACATATTTGTCGGGAAAAAAAAATTATTTTTATTTAAAGAAAGTACTTGTTTGTGTTTGATTTCGTATCTTAAAATATCATCTGCTCTTATTAGCATATTTAAGTTCAGAATTATTAATCTTCTTACTACTGGAAAATCCAATTATTAGAGCAAAATTCATAAAGGTGTTAATTTAGAACATGAAGATTGTACAAAACTACGATTCATTTTAGGTTGGCTATACTCCAAAAAATTCTCACTTTTGTTTTGTTTCGACTAAAAAAATCCATATTTTGAATGTGGTCAACAACCTCTTTTCCTCCAATGCTTACGTGAGTAGAATTATAATAAATTGAGTCACCTAATTGTATGTAATCACACGAAAATCGTTTTCACGATAGAAGAAACAGATTGTCTAGGAACGTTTATTTTTGTGCATATCGATTGAACATATAATTGAACATATTTCAGCTATTAGTTTTGAATTTATTTTTGACTCACAGAAATAGACTTTTTTTTCCCAACTTAGAGGTCAAAACAGTTGTTTTTGTGAAACAGGATATTTTTGGAAAAAGAACTAATCTGTTTTATTTTTTTTTCTGAAGAAGAAATTTATCAAATGCTTTCAAATCGATAAAAATTAATGGCATTTTTAAAACATTTTATGTCACGAAGGGATATATATATATATATATATATTTATATTTAAAGTCACTAAATCATTAAACCATCAGTTTTTAACAAAAAATAATAATAAATTAAATTTTTTAAATTTCAACAGCATTTAAATTTTTTAAACGCAGAAGAAAAAATTAATGGTGGCAAGCAAGAGCTCGTGTTTCATATTTCAACTGAGCATAAAAGCTGTAAACTCTGTTATATAATTTTTAACTATTAATTTTTCTTTTGTTATATAATACAGTTCTCTGAAAAACATCAGTAAANTAAATTTCAACAGGATTTAAATTTTTTAAACTCAGAAGAAAAAATTAATGGTGGCAAGCAAGAGCTCGTGTTTCATATTTCAACTGAGCATAAAAGCTGTAAACTCTGTTATATAATTTTTAACTATTAATTTTTCTTTTGTTATATAATACAGTTCTCTGAAAAACATCAGTAAATTAAAGAATAAGTTATAAAAATATAACTTTTCAAAATATCGCATGTCATTATTTGTAATTATTCGAAATAAAAAATATAAACAATAAAAATAAAAAGCAAGAATATAAATTTAAACCTAATCAATGTCCAGTTAAATTTTGTTTTTTTTTTAACTATTTTGAAACCACGCTATTGATAAATGGTTAAAAAACAGTATAGTTTTCTATTCATGGCTTTTTAACTATTCCAGTTGTGAACAGTTTCAGTACTGTTAAATTAAAAAACGTTCTTTGCCTAAACTTTACGGTTTTTTGGATGGACAGACTACTGCCGGTCATATTACAGTAATTTCAGAATGAAAATTTTAACAGTGTAGGAATCCTTCCACGCACTTCAAAACGAGCCTTCTGTTGATAACATATTTTACATTATTCTGTTCCCTCTTATTTTACATTATTCTGTTAGCTTATTATCTGAATCAACATTCAGTACTGTCAATGACGTCAAAAGCTGTTGTACTTCTTGAAATTTTTTTCTCCCATCATGTAAAAACTTGTTATGATTTGACAAAAATGTTACTTTAAGTGTAGTATTAGTCTTCTCTATAAAAATTTCTGCGTCAATTTAAGTCTATTTGTTTATAATGACAAACTCATTTTAACAATAATCCCATTGTATTGTCATTATTAAGTACTTTTACTGTATTTATTTTATAAATATATTTATATAAATATCTTTATTTTATAGTTTACATCTTTATTAAATTTTAAGAAGGTTTATGCCATGCATAAGGGCTTTAATGCAATATAAATCGTTCCTTAGGAATTTTTTTAATGTTTTTATAACTTAAAGAAGCTAAATTTGGACAATGAATAAATTCCGATTAAAAATGTTCAGTATTTTATGACTTTCCAATTAATTTAAATGTTTAAAGTTTAATATTTTTACAAAAAACTATTTTTTAAACTTTATTTAATATTACTAAAGTTGTAGCTATAGCAAATGATAAATTATTAATGACTTGCAATAATAAAATTGCAATGCTTTTTTATTTCACTTAACGAAAAATTTTATTAAATCCTCTGTTCGACTACTTAGAAGAAAAAAAAACATTCCCTTAAAACCTGACTTCATATATAACAGATACGAAAAATAAATGTGCTATCTATTTTTTCTAGGAAGTATTTTTGATCTAGTTCGACCAACTAATTCGGCCTGTACTGGTGACACAGGGGACAAGGGAAGTTGTCTTACAAGTCGAGATTGTGCCGAAAGAGGAGGTCACAGCATTGGAGTGTGTGCTAACGGCTTAGCTCAATGTTGTTATTGTAAGTGCTGCCATCTATTATATTTTATTCAAAAAAGTTTCCCAAAAATTTAAAATTAGTTATTCTTTTGCAGAGTAATAGTAATTTCCAATGAGTATATATCACACACAATTCAAATTTTTAAAAAATGAGAAATTTTCTTTGAATATTATGCTTTTTTTTTAATTCAAGTGTACATAAATTGGTACAATATACGTAATTTAGAAAACTTAGAAATAAATATTTAATAATTTATTCAAAGATTTTTTAAAAAAAATTACACTAATTTCTTGTTTAGCAAATTAATTTTTCTAATAAGTTTTTGTTAAATTTCCTTTTAAAAAATTTCTTTATTTCTGACTATTTAGTGAGACATTTTTTTTTCAAATATGCTTAAAGAAAATACAATCAATTAATATATTTTTTATTTATGTGAATTATTTATAATATATTGCATATAATAAAGGGGCTGAAAGCGGTTATTCAAGGACGAATGACTTAAAAATAAATCAGATGTATAAATGTGGAAATCAGTTTCGTTGACTGATGAAATGAAGAATCATATTCGATTAGTTGTAAACAAGACATGCGAATAGTCCTTTCTCAATTCCTCAATTTTCTCCGGTAATCAAACAGGTTTTTATGTTTTTGTTTCACCTTCTTCTTGAGTTTTGAACTTTATGTTTGATACATGGCCGTTTCAAGCGTTAAGTTTTTGAGGGGAATAAAATTAAAATTTTCAAAAATTTCCAAATTTTCACTCCCGAAAAGCCACTTCTTTCATCTATAAAGTAATGGATTTTTTTTTTAAAATTTCTCAGTTTTTTTTAAATAAGCTAACTTTAAATTGTAGAAAATACATGAATTTTTTTTATTTGTCTAAAATAAGGGGGGAACTATTAACTGTCTTAACTATTGAGGAGTGAACCTCCATGACGCCTATGGTTTTATAGTAATTTCGTCTTCTGTTATCAAACCATACTCGCGTAAATATTAATTTTGCGATCCTAATTTGTAAACTTTTTTGACTTTATGTCTTAAAAGAATTATAAAAATATTCATTAGGGTGTGGTTACGGAACACCTTGTATATTGAAATTTTTTGTTGATATTGGAAAATGGTTTATGAATTATTTGTTTCTTCTTCTAGTTAAATTTACATGTGGTGGCGTAACAAGCAGGAATGAAACTGTTTTTGTGAATCCCAGCTATCCACAAGGTGAAAATGGTACTGATACTTGTCAAGTAACAGTTGAAAAACAACCAAATGTTTGTCAACTTCGATTAGATTTTGAAGAATTCAGTTTAGCACAACCAGATGTTTTAGGACTTTGCACAAAGGATTCTTTTATGGTCAGAACTACTGTTGGGGAAAGATTACCTATTTTATGTGGAGAAAATCGTGGACAACATTGTAAGTTTGACATTTTTTAAAGTTTCTAATAATTAACTGAACAGCATTTTTTTTAAAATAATAACTTGCATAATGTTTATTTGCACCTTTTTGGTTCTCAACGTGGGCGCTATCACCAATATATATTGAACACTGCATAAATTACATGTTATTAAAGCAATTATTAATTCAGCAATTTACTGTGAAAATATTACCTACCAAATTTATAATGAAAATAACACTTCGGTTTCTGTTCTGAACAAAAACTTTTTAACATTTTGGACGTTTGAAGTGACTTTTTTTCTTCGCTTCTCAGCTTCGCAAAATATTTTTTTATTTTTAATTTTAAGAAGCAATTTTATATTTTTTTTATTCAACAGTTTAGGATTTTGAAAATAATTTGTTTTTAAGTTTTTTTACGCTCTACTTATAACTTCGAAGCTAATAATTATTAATCATTTTTCTACTTATAGGCTACTTTCATAAAATATTTGCTAAAAATGTTCAAATATAAAATTATTGGGCAATAAGAATTTTCAATAAATAAACGGCATAATCAAGAATTTTCTATATAGAAAATGGGTAACGATGGGTATGGATAATAATGATCGTAAAAAAGTGTATTTTTTTTTAAATTGTTTAATAAACGTTTCTTAAAGAATTTTTTGAGGGGGCGTAGAATAAAGTTTGTCTTGCAAAGTAGGTGGTAAGTCAAGAAAGTTTGAGAATCCATTGATGTAATCATACTCTATTTATATGCAAGTTCTTTTGACAAAGATATCAGATCAAAAAATACACTAGCTTTTTTTCTTATAATTTCTAGTAAGGGTATTTGTATTTATTAAAAAATATATACTTTGCGTAAACATAAATGTGTAATATGTTTAAAACATTTCAAACGTATGTAAACATAGTAATTATCATTCGTAAGAGAATACATTCATTCTCAATTATGTGCAACAATTGGATACCCGGGGAAAATTCCGGAAGTATATTATATGGAGGGGGTAAAATAAGTTAATTTAATTTTAAAAAAAATATAATGGAATATATATTGATAAAAATATATATTTATAAAAATCTAAATTCATATTCTAAGTTTATTCTTGTGTTAATATACTCAGAATTATTCTATCATAAAAAATTTATTATTTCCAATAAAATTAATTTATTACTTCCAACAAAATAATTTTAAATGTGAAAAACGTTTAAAATTCAATAACCTATAGCTCCATTATTAACTTTGCTAGAAAATTATATTTAATTCGTCATTAAGTGTTTTTCTTAAGCCACTTATTTAGCAATTTAAACTTAATTACATAATAAAAATAAAACCAATCGATAAAAAGTTTTACTGTCCATAGGTATCGTGTTCCCTTCAACGCCTCTATTCGATCATTATATCATTAGGGAAAAAAATATCATTCTTTCCAATATCATTTCTTAAAAACCAATATCTTTTACCAATTTTTAGAAATTCTTATGATTTGAATAAGCTAAATTACCCTAAAAAATTTGCAACGCTTGTTGATTATATATGAAACCCATAAAGTTTACAGAACCTGTACAGCTTGCAAATACATAAAATAATTCGAATTTTATTGGGAGGTGGCATGGATTTTTCTGAAAAGGAATCCTGATTTAAAATAATCTAGATTAGGCCAATGCTAAAAACACGCGCGCACAAACAAGAGAATGAATTATTTAAATAACTTTATTAGTTTAAAAAATTAAGGTGAAAAAAAGATCTTGCTTCGAGCGCTCAGAAAATGGCGCTCAATTCCAAAGTCACTGTTAAATGTTGAAAAACTTGATTTAATAGTTTTTCGCTTTAATTACTAGTAATAATTCATTTAATATATACAGTGAAGGCGTAATCTGAAATAAATAGTATTTAGGGCATAAAATAAGTATCAAACTGTATTTTAAATGTCACTCCTTCTTTGTCTTAATAATTTTAAAATTAAAATATCTTCTTTCAGTGTACATTGACATGGGTAGGGGCACAGGTAATCCTGTAGTTCTGAGTGTTGTAAGCAACGGAGATAGAATGACAAGGAAATGGAAGATTAAGATTTCAATGGTGGAATGCAATGCAAATGATATGGGTAAGATAATTTAAATTATGTATTAGCCCATTTTGCTTCAACTGAGCGTATTTCTTTTCTAAAATTTCTTGTTTTTGTTATTTTATTTATACACTTCGAGAATAAAAATTTTAGTTTCCTTTGTTTCGAATTATGTTATTAAATTTCCATCTTACACTTTTATACGACAATAATAGTTAATCGCACGTGAAAGAAATAGATTTTTTAAATTAAAATTTAACTGTTCTTCTAATAGCTACCCAGCTAGGATATTACTTTTCAAAGTAATTATACTATTTTGCGAAACAAAACATAAATGGGAAAAAGTTAGAGCTTAAAATTTTGTGGTACTAACTAAATGATTTATGAACTTACAATGTGTAACGAGAGTGGCACATTTTTTCAAACTAATTATTAGCTAAGCATAATATATCTAACATTTTAGTATCCAGCGTCATATTTCATCACTAATTTTTGAATAGCAGAAGATTAGGAGTAAAAATAAAGCAATGCTTGCTTTAAAATTATTCTAATTACCAATTCATATCTAACTAATAAAATACAACATTGTTAACATTAATATAAGCTATACAAAAAATTGCTTAAATACTAAAATATTATAAAATATGTTTGTATTAAATTTTGTATTAAATTTGTTGTAAATTAATTGTATTTACAGCCGTATTTGTATTTAAAAATTTCGAAATACTTAAAAATTCAGAATAACTGCTGTATGAGATATATTTCAGGAATTCTAAAGAATTGTGATAAAGTGATTACTTTATTAAGTCTAAGAAAAATTAAGAAATTGATGCAAAGGGAAGTTTTCAAAATTAATTTCTGTCTATTTAAAAATATGAGGCTATTTAAAAATTACATTCGTATGTTTTTGCAATTTTGAATATCCTCAAAAATAAGCAAAACACAATTAACCCCTTTTGTGCTTACATAAAAAGGGTCGCAACACCGCTTCTGTCTTTGCTTTCACTTTGATTTTTGCTGCTTAAATCTGTGATAAATTTCTACTTTTGAGATTAAATTCGAATAAACGATGTAACTAATGTGCATCGACGTACGTAATCGTACGTATATTCATGTACGATGTAATGTAAACGATGTACATCGTTTATTTGAATTTAATCATAAATACATTGTCGTTTATTAGAAATCATTTATTAACTAAATTCTATTAACCGAATTGTTAAATAAATTATTAAATAAATTATTTATTAAATAAATTCTATTATTACCTTAAATAAATTCTAATAAACGATGTAACGGTGCAGTAAATTCTACTAACGATGTAAAAAAATATGTTTCAATTAATGTCATAAATTTGTATTTTTCTTCGACGGAAAGAAAATACAAATTTATGACATTAATTGAAGCATTTTTTTTTTAACTTTTTAATAAGTTAAATCTTTTGATCTCAAACTTCATTTTCGTTCTCCAAACTTAATTTCTAGTGTAAATTTTCTTTCTAAATTAATGTTGTTACAATGTTTGTTTTAATTTTTAAAAAAAAATAATAATGTGATTTTAATGTCCAACGTAAGCATTGCTCATACTCCTCCTCTCCCCTTATCAGCAAAACTGAGCAAATCAAAAAATCGGTGCTTACACAATATTTGAATGCTCTATGTGTATTAAAATTACAATTATTTCTAATTATACTTTTGAATAATTTAAGCTCCTCCTGGTTGTCTTCAATACTACAGAAGCCCAAGTGAAACTGTACGAAGTTTTAATTTTGGAAACCCAATTGAGGAACGTGTTAGATACCTGAGCAATTTGAGATATACAGTATGCCTGAGAGTCGAAGAAAATTTCTGTTCAATCAAATGGGAAACAGAAAAAGCTGATTCCTTTAGTTGGGGTTTACCAAAAGATGCAGGAGCCTCTGGAAGTACATGCAATGACGATGATTTTATAACAATAGATCAAGGATCCCTCGATGGATATGGAGCTGGTGAAGACAGATTCTGTGGCACAAGTTTATTAGATAGAAACACTGTAATATGTAAGTATTTTTTATGACAGGGGAATTTTTATAATCGAGATACATGATAATTTTAAAAATTCATAAGACTTTCATCCTAAAAATACTCGAGCATTTATGGAAGTTAAAAAAAAAAATAATAATAATTGATTTTTATTTTGGTTCAAACTTCTTGTATTCGCCTTCATTGAGTTCGTTTTGAAAAAAAAATATATATATATATTTTAGCGGCTGAGTTTTATTTCACTGAAAAATGAATATATAGAAAAAGTTTCCTTTTATTATTTTTAAAAAAAAACTAAAAATTTTTTAAAATTTCTAAAAAAATTCTGCTAAAAATTTAAAAGTGCATATGTATTTAAAAAAAAACGCTTAAAATAAGCTTTTTTTCCAATCGCGAGTGCCTAAGAAAATTAGGAAAAAATATGCACCGAAAAAGTAGAAAAAAAGAAAAAAACTGATTAAATTGATTTTGGTACAAAAAATTTAATTACTATTTACTGTTTGAAGCAAATATTGTATTTAAGAAAGGTTATTTATTTAAGTGGAAAATAAAATTGAAATAAATTGCTACAATAGCTCATAGTTATCGTAATTGCATTATTAAAACAATCGTAAGCTCTATCACAAATAAAACGTTAATAAATTATAAATTTTGTAATTTTTTGTTTGCAAGACTTTTCAATTTCTAATTGATTCCCAATTGGTAATGCTCTTACTGATGTAGCTCTTATAATATGTCAGTTTCCAAGGGGCTGAAATTAGAAGCATTAACTTACTTTACACTTTTAATCTCTTTTTCTCTAATATTTTCATTCTCTTTCCCAATTTTTAAATGGGAACAATAAATATTTTGTCTTAACACGTTTCTGTAAATGTTATCAATTTATACAGCAAATTAAAATTGCATTGTAGGAAAACCATTCGCTGCACTTATTGCATAGTTTCTGTTCAATTACGTTAAATTTATTTCAATCTAAATAGAATTAGGAAGAATTTTTAAAAGACAAAAATATAGAATTGTAATAAAATCTCTTGAGTAGGTTCAGAAAGATTTTGAGAATTTGCAACGATTGTCAAGAACTTATCAAAGGTAGTCAAACGTTTTTATGCATAAATGCTTATAACAAAATAAATTTAACTTATTTCCTAAAGGAATTTAAGAAAAATTGACGTTTTTTTAAAAAAAAAACTAGATTGGTATTTTACAAAATTACTGATTTACCATATTTAACAAAGATGTTTCTTTATTGCATGTAACAAAAATGAAGTTTTGTTCAATAGAACCATTAATTATAGCACCTATTTCAATCAATTGCGACCATTCTAATCAATGTGGGTTTTTTTGTTTAAATTCAAATCAATATGGGTTTTGTTAAGAGAAATCAATGCGTGTTTCGTTATTTAAAATCAATATGTGTTTTGTTTATTCAAATCAATTTGGGTTTCGTTCAATCAAATCAATGCAGGTTTTGTCTGTAAAATCAATGAAGGTTTTGTTTCTTCAAGTAAACTTTGATTTTAGTTTCGAAATTAAATTAGTTTCAAAGTATTCAATTAAATTCAGGAAATTTTTACTAAGATATCAGATTTTTTTTATAAGAACACATCATAATTCAACATTCAGATTTACAAAAATATATTTGATCTATAAGAATTGTAGTTATTCCTTTCCCGCAAACGCAATTTCAGTTAATCTTGTTTTTACTTTATGCCAGTATATTCCTATTTTTTAAGAAACGTACTAGTGGGAAGGGGAAGCAAGTTTGTTGAACCATGATAACGGAAAGGGTAAAATTGTGATGAGAGAAGAAAGCTCATCACCTTGAAACGCTCATTGTATTCACAAAGAGTATTGTTAAAGCAAAGTTAATTTCGGTAAGCCTTGTTTTTACTTTATGTCAGTATAATCCAATTTTTTAAGAAACGTATTAGCGGGAAGCAAGTTTGCTGAATCATGGTAACGGAAAGGGTATATTTTGTCTAAGATAAGAACTCCTCCAGCCTAAAAGTCTGATGTTGTCTGGAGCTAAGGAAGCAATAATGGCGCATTTTAGGGAGGGTAGCTTCACTCTAGGACTAGCACAATAGACCGAACAAAGAGATTCCCTTTCTCTCGCTGAACCGAGCCGAAATCACTCCAAAATACCGCGAGGTATGACAATTTCAAGTGACCCGCACGCCTACTTGAAATTGTCATACCTCGTTACCATAGTCACCGCCACAGGTCCAGACGAATGTTTGGGGGAGTTCTTATACTAGACAAACTATTAAATTGCGGAGAGAGGGGAAATTTTATAGCCTTGAAACACCTATTTACCAAGAGTATTGCTATAGCAAAGTTTTTAGCACTTAGTTTCATGTTTTCTCTTTATTTTCAGCTCGAAGTAAGCCGTTTTTGTTGAAAGTTCGCAGTAACAGCAATGCTAGAGAAAATGCTGCAGCTTCTCAAAATGGGTTTTCACTGAGATATATTCAACTACCTTGTATGATTTGAGCTGGTCTCATAATTAGTAAGTTATGTATGTCAAATATTTTATTGTTCTCATATTTATTTTATTGCATCTAAAATTAATGCATAGATGTCAATTTCTTACTATTTATATTTAAAGGAACTACTCAAAATGTTTACAAAGTTCTCCTTACTTATATTATTGTAAAATAAATTTCATTGTTCTGTTTTTAAACATTTTTTAATATTTCAGGAATTATAGTAGTGATTTATAACTTCATTTATAGCATATAAACATATATATTATAATAATCGTTTCAGAATAGTTTCAAATACTTGCCTTATTGCTGAAGACAAGGTTTTTATGCAATTTAAAAGACTCATTAAACCTTTTTATTCGAACAAATACTCCTAAATTTTATAAGAAAACAATAAAACAATTTGCACTAGAAAAAAATGCTTTATAGAGGAATCGGTTCAATGTTGAATCACAACGGTACTGATAAAATGATACAAATTTGCTGCAACTTTTATAAGGTGTTAATTTGTACCATGTTTTTCTTCAAGTTGCATTTGAAAAGAGCTATAATATAGCTTAATTTAAAAAGATATTAAGGTTATTTGAACGTTAATCAAAATATATAATCCTTAGTTCCCCGATCGATTGAATCGACAAATCACTCTTATATTAATATTTTCTAAGACCTATGAAAATGTTACTTTTCAATTCCACAATACTTGTTTTTATTTTATTAAAAAATTTCAAAAATTAGTTTGTTTTAATTATGATAAATTAAGCAATTTTCCTTTTTTTCTCCTTTTTTACTTATTAAGACATCGAAGAAGTCAATCGTTTTATGATCTATGGATCTGATTAATATAATTATCTTCAGAGTATAAAATGAACTCATGCACCATTAAAACTAAATTAATTAATTTATCTCATTTTTCATAAAACATCACAGTACCATCTTTCTATAAAAATGAGAAAATACGCGAAGGTTTCTAAACTCTAGTGATGATCATTAATCATTTTCTTCTTTCAAAAAAGAGTATATAAAATATCATCTAAATCAATCATCCTAAATACCAACTATATATGACTTCATATAATGTATACACAAATATGCAACCATTTATCCTTTCACGAATATATAGAAAATTGTTTTGGTAATGTAATCATTTAAAGAAGCCTACTGACTACTGTTTTTACTTGCAAAACTGTTTTGAATGTAAAGCCTAAGTTGTTATATTATTTATTAGTTGTTATATTATTACATCTTATTTAATATCTAATACAAATAGGAAAAAGCGGCATAAAATTTATTGTTTTTGATAATAATATCGTTCATAAAGTTTATAATATGATTATTTCTGATATTTAATTTGTATTCTTATTTCGTCTAAAATTTGTATTTCAGTTTGAGTGAGTTAAGGTTAAATAAAAAATATAAATTATGATTCGGTAGTACAACATTCAACAAATAAACTTGATGACAATACATACTAAACATATATGTTTAAAACTCTTTTCTTAGAAAGATGTCTATTTTAGATATGGCATGTTCTATTTTCTGAAAAAATATATTCGTCTATCAAAAACAAAATATTTTCATTATGCATTAAATTAAAATGTCACATTTTTATCATAAGTAGAAATTCAAATATTTTCTTGAAGAAAAAAAAAGTAATTTCATTTTTATAAAATAAATCTCATACTGTACAAGTCTTAAGAATCATTTAAGTGGTTTCAAACTTATAATATATTTAATATAGTTATATAAACTATATATTATATTCAGAACCTAGAAATCTACCGTGAAAATCTCATGTTATATTTTTTACTATTTCTTTGTAAAACTTGCAAAATGCATATAAAATCATAACATTGAGACAACAATAAATAAGATGTAGAAAAGTTTTAATTTATGAAGTTTTATTTTATGCACAACAAAATCCTTTTTGAATATGTTCTTTTGTTTAAACAACAATTAAATTATTATACTTTTAAATTATAATAATAATCGCATGTTAGTAATTAAATTGCCTGTCAATTAGCAAAATGAAACAGAAAATGATATAAGCCAAAATTGTATACTTTTTTTATATTAGATGATAACTATCACTCTTTATTGATATAATTAAATTAATTAATTTTTTAATCTGTTTAAACTCATTTTTCAATAAATTATGTAAGTTTATTTTTAAGACTAATATTATCGTTTTTACTTTTTTAGTGATTTGAAAGGAAGCAGGTTCTTCTGTATCATTTGTAGAAATCAGAATGTATTATTTATTTATTTATCCATTCCATTACATTGAGTAATGCCTCAAAATCAAGCCGCTGTATTCGAGACAATAAATTATTACGGAAATTTTATTTTTCTTCTCAAGATTTCTATATGAATTATTTCACTGTAATTATTATTTATGATTTTGTACAGAGATTATATTTCTTTTCCTTTTTGTAATGAATAAATTAATAAAGTTCTTTTCATGATTCTAAAAAAAAATGTCTCTTGGTTGCTTGTAAAATATTTTGTCTTTTTCTTCTTACAATCATTTTCTAAACCATTTAGTGCAGTAACTTTAAATTTTCGCAATTTAAAAATCAACATATATTACTGTGATCAAAAAGTACTCGCAATGATGGCATGAAACAAAACATATAAATTTATTGCTTAAACTTTATTTGATCTCTCTCAAAATACTCTACTTTGACTTCAATGCACTTCATTCAATGATTTTTTTAATCTTGAAAAACTCACCTTAAAATTGCTATTATAAATGCCTTTTCAGAGTTTGTAGTGAATTTTCTTTTACCAAATTAATGGACTTATAACCATGACTAAGAAGAGGAATTTTCAACCAGGAGAATAAGGAAATTCACACGGTGCCATGTCAGGAAAATATAGAGCTGGTGAAGCTTTACTTGCTGAATGATTTACTAAATATTGACGAATAATAACTAGTGTGAGAAGGTGCATTATCATGTTGCAAAACCCAGTAGTTCCCCCTCCCCCGCATTTCTGGTCGTTTTTAAAGACTCTATTCACGACGAAAATACCGCAACAAAATCAAATAATAATCTTCATGGAATGGCAGACCAGTCAGTAGGAATTCATTTTCAAAACACTGCAAAAATAATAATAAAAAAATAGTTTACACTACCTTGAATTTGGAGGAACTTTGACATGGTCTTTTCGATCTTGCCTCACTTTTAAAGAGCTATTAACTTGATTGATAGGTTTCGATGTCAAAAACATGCATCCTGGTTTCTTTACCGATACTTGCGTGTTTTAAAAAGGAAATGCCTTGTAAAAGCATTTCTCGAGGAACACTTATTATTATTAGCATTTTTAAAGCTCTTGGAACAACTCTTCACAACCTTAAATGTTTTTTTTTTTTAAATTGACCGAGAACTACTAAGTGGTATAAGAACTTGTTCAGTAATGTCTTTTAATGTCAAACGATGACAATCGAGTGTCACTTCTCTGTCTTGATCGATGCATTGATCATTAATCAAAGTGGATGGTCTAACAGATAGCTGATCATTTTCTATATATTCTTTACCAACTTTAGCATTTTAGCAAATCAAATACTACTGTTTTTGATAAGCAGTGATCTTTAAAAAACGTTTGAAAATTTCAAATGCCTCTGTTTCGAAATTTAATTGTAAGAATGTAATTTAATGCATGTTCTTTGCTCTATACTATTCCTTATTTCGGGAAATCGGCGGAAAGAAAATTCTTCTCTCATTAAAAACTACTCTTTCTTTTCCGATGATAAAATTAAATACATTCCGTACCCTTTCCATTATTATTATAAAAGTCTTAAAACTGTTAAATGAAAGTTTGCAGATGATATTTATATTACAGGATGTCACGGAACATATACAATTTTGGGGATAGCGTAAGGCACATCATATGGAATCACCGGAAATGTTCCGTACACCAGAAGGGATACTTCCCTTCTAAGGATTGTTTATAGTAGCCTTTAAATCGATGCTCTTCTTTTTTTTAAATTTCATGTTTTCTAATAATTATCTTTTAAAACAGCACTCTAATAGGCCCTTATTTAGCTGTTTTACAGTAGTTTATTGATTCGGTAAGTAACTTGCAGATTGTTCCAAATCATTCACCAAATTAGTGAATTGCGTTAGAACAGCTACCACTGAGTGACTTTAAATGTAGTTTTCAATGATAATTATTCGAAAAATATAAAATTAAGATAATTTAAATAAATAATGGTACCGATTCAAATGCGCATGAACAGGTAGACCATTAAAGGAAAGAGTCCTCACTGACGTAAAAGTATATCGCCAGCCATGGATTTTAAACAATTTTCAATCCTAAAGACGTGCCCCACCTTCTCTTCACACAAACGCGAAGTCCTGGAAAGAAGTTGATCAATTTTAAATGAAGCAATCCGTAACCTTTCTGATCACAGTAGTAAATTATCACCGTTTTATGATATTTTTTATTATGTGAAATGCTGTAAGAGTTTCTGAAATGAGAAAGACCAGTAAATAATCAGATCGATGATCTATTAAGTAGAACCCAGGGAATAATAATTGGTTCTATCTGTGATAATAGAATGAATAAGTTAAATAATAATTAGATTGATAACTACTCGTGCATTTCTATGTTTCACTAAGCATTTGAAACAAAAAAGATTGAAGACTTAAGATAAATAAGTTAAACAAATAATAACTTCATTTCTGTTTTCGTTTAATTTTAAATGACTCTACTGTCAAGCTTCATGATCTTAATTTGGGTCCCGACTCATAGACTAAGGTTTGATTTCGAATATGACTAAATGCATTAAAAGAACTAAGTTAATAATTAAATAATTTATTGGAAGATAGATGGATTTCAATTCAATGTTTTGAACAAATGAAATTTATTTTGAAAGATCAAGTTGCAAAGCAATGGACTAAAAAGTGAAAATCAAAGTAAATAAATAAATGCAATTTCTGTAGGTGAAAGGTAAAAATTCGTAAAATTTAAAATATACAGTTTAAAATTAAATTTTATGCTAAATCACTAACTATGTAAATATGAAATATTCAATTTCAAAATATTTCTCGAATTTACATTTGAGAGAGTAATACAGATAATAATCGATGGAAATGCACACTGAAGCGAAAAATAATCTCCAAGTTTGAGTAATCGCTTCAGGGACCGTTTGTTGCCAGAAATTTGTAACGCGTCTGGAAAATTGTATCTTGAAGTTATACTGTTTCTCATGCAACAATTTCTTGAAGTTTATATTAAAAGCATACACTACCAAAAATAGATAAAAATATTTATTCAGAGGGGTATATTTTACAAATATCATTAAAAAAATTTTACTCATTAATAATTTTTTTCATAGCTATTAATTTATTTATTTCTAGCTTTTCTTATCAATAGAAATATAATGCTTGAAATGCTAACTTTATTAATATGGGGAAAAAAAACTTTTGAAAAACTCCCCTTTGCAATTTAAAAATCAGCAGTTCATGTTCAACGCAAATCTATTATGCGTCTTATCAACTATAAGTTCTGATATATTGCAATTAAGTATATTCACAGAGACCGAAATTTTTATTTGTTGAATTGGTCCCCAACAAAAAAATACATACTTTTTTGCACGTTTCACTAGAAATTACACACTTTTAATTCAGTAGTTAAAAATATAAGTATTTAAAGCTCCGGCTGATACCACTAGAGTGCTTGCAGACCTAACTTTATGAAAGCATTTTCAAGTATATTTTTAGGAAATGGGTCCTACAAATTTCTATCCTAATATAGAACCTCCAAAAGTTGACCTCCTATATTTTCTCTTCATTTTTACTCAACGGTGTTACAATTTTTTTCATAAGCAACTTCCTTTTATTACTTTTTATGGGATGGATTACTTGTATATTAATGTCAAGTGTTTGAAGCATACTTACACAATTTGCACGGAAAAGCACAGCTTTTAAGTTTTTTTGCACAATCTATTTTTTTAATTAAAGATTATATTATATTAGTAATAACATTAATCAATAAACAAAAGATATTTTGTGCATTTATAAACTTTCTAAATACCTTAAAATATTTGGACAAAAACATGATTCAAAAAATAAATAAATAAATAAATTTTGCCAAAAAAGGCAAAACGTTTTTTTTTTTAGCTTCAGAAATTATTCGTCAAATTTGGGTTTGTAATTCGTTAATCAGGGATTTTTGCCTTTATTTTAACCTATGGGGAGGGGGGGGGGAACAATCGCTAAATCGTAAAATTCGGTAAATAGTGGTTAATTAAATCAGGGTTCGACTGTATTCATGCATGCAAAATGTATATAAATAGTCATCTGCATTTTCTGCATTTCTGTTCTCTCGTTTGAGGCGATTAATTTTAAAAATTATAATTTAGTTTTGAATTTTTTTTTAACGTAAGTTTATCATTTTAATTCTAGGATAGGTGTAATGAGTGAACGAAGTGATCTAAAAAGGGCAGCGCAATCTGTACTCAGTTGACAAGTGGATTGTCAAATGAGAACAAAACCTTTAATGTTATTTAAATAAGAGAACATTAGTTATTGAACTTTATGTTAAAGATATAAAGTAAAAAAATACAAAGTAATATAAAATATAAAGTAAGTTACATTATTTAAATATTTTTTTAATAGCACCGCGTATTTTAGTTTTGAAAAAATTATCATCCGGTGATTTATTTATTTATTGCAGTTATATACTCTAACTCATGACGTCTTAATTTGTTTACATTTCTTATTTATTTTGGAGTAACTAAATTTTAAAGTTATGTTTTCGAAAGGATGAATCTTAATCCAGTCTCTATCGGTTAACGGTCCTATAGCGGTCCAGACAGGTGAAAAGAGTGAGAAAAATGACCTGAGAAGAAATGCGCAAGCTTCTCCGAGGATTGTAGAGAAATTTTCACTGTTTAAGAGGACTAGGATAATACCAGCACTAATCAATAACATTTTATTAATAAAACAACATTAACAATGGTATATGATTAACAAACAGACATATAAAACATCTTACATCCAGATCTCGTACTTAAAAGCCGACTAATATAGAAGTATTTGGGGAGGTTATCCAGTGGAGGCTCGCTTGAGCTGACGTTAAAGTTTCAGTCCTGATTTTAACTTACCACTGCAATAACGAACGAAGGGCCTCTAATATAATTAAACTAAACTACCAAAGACATTAGCACCCTTTATGGGGGCATAAATTTGAAGAAAATGGTCATAAAAGTTCTTACAAAATGTAATTGTAAAGGTCACTTTTTAAGATCTTACTGGATCATCTAAAACGAAAGAAGTAACAAAACTATATGGTCAGCAATCGTAACACGCAATTATCGGTACACATCAAATTTTAGCATTCGAACTTCCGCTTCTACATGCCTACCACTTCCGCGTACCAACATTTTCTCCGTAAAATGAGTTAATTAGCAATCTACACACAGCTATATTTTAGGGACTGGTTAATCATTCTTCTCTCATAATAAAAAAATT